CTGCTGAACTTTGTTTAGGTTCACTCTCATCCAGAGTCGGTTCACGTTGCAGCTGTTAGATTTGTCTGCGATGGAGCCGCTTTCTATTTCACAAGAGAAACCTAAGCCACTGTACTTGAATAGCGGCGGTTATGCAGTGTCTGTCCTTGCAGGGAAAGGAAAATAATGGTTTCTTCAGCTGTAAAGAGAGAAATTTGCTCTTGGGTTAGTGACTGTTTACCTAAGTATTGAACAGTTTTCTCTGTAAAAGTTAGAAGTGAAACTACCCAGAAACACTTAGTGGCTGACCAGAAACTAAACTTGCTGGCGCTTTCAAGGTGGGATTTATTGACTTATAAATGTCCTCCCTGATTCACAAAGGCACAGGCTCTCTTGGGAAGTTTTCCAGTATTGATGGAGACCGGGGTACCATTACGCAGGTTTATTGTCCTGGCTAAACTGCTAAGAGGACAAATAAAATAATATCACGGGCCTCCCTGGTGGCGCAGTGGTTGAGAGTCCGCCTGCCGATGCAGGGGAGACGGGTTCGTGCCCCGGTCCAGGAGGATCCCACATGCCGCGGAGCGGCTGGGCCCGTGAGCCATGGGCGCTGAGCTTGCGCATCCGGCAACGGGGGGGTCCACGACAGTGAGAGGCCCACATATCGCAGAAAAAAAAAATAATAATAATAATAATAATATCACGGGCAAGAGAAAAAAAGAAAAAAAAAACAGAGGTGGCCTAGTGGGGAATCTTGCTGGGGTTGGGAAAGCAGAGGTGCCCTTCCACACAGGGTGAGAGTGGATTCTAGACTCAAGTCTCAGGAGGCCGTGGAGACGTCACCTGCTCCCTCATCACCGTTTCCTAAGCTCCTGGCTCGGGAAGGTACAGGGGGCTCTCACTCACGGGGAGTGACTTAGGTGCTTCAGAAAGTATGTGCATTCTTCCTGGCTGCATAAGCCAGCTAGTGAATCCCAAAATAATTAGATGGGATAATAATGTAGTAAAATGTTAGGATCCAAAAGACGCTGTCTGTCATCAATTCAGTTTAGAGAACACCGCTGCCGCGCCAGGCTCATTCCTCTTAGAGCACGGCAGAGCACACGACTGCTAGCTCCTGCATAAATCAGCTCTCTAGGCTGTGGTTAATTTCACATTTTCACAAACCTTTGGGACCACAGAGCTTTCTTTCACCTAACCTGGATTAAGATCTCACAGAAGTGAGTTTTTAGACAGACGATATACGTTTCAGATACTTGACCAGGCCCTGGTGAGGTTTGAAGGTAGCTGGGGGCTGGGGTCGAGGGGTGGGTGGATGCTGTCAGAAGGAAACCGACCACAACTTCAGAAGCACCGAACTACACCTAGTTCGTTCTATAAGATGAGACTTAATAAGGATGAACTTCAGAAAACATTCCATTCGAAGGATCCATTTTTTAAGCAGACGGGATACTTAGTTTGGTCTAAATTCATCTGAAAAAGCCCCAGAGTTTTCACTGCTCACACATTTCTAGGCGCTTTTGGGGCACGAGAGCAGCAAAGAGAAGATCCAGGAGAGGAAGGTGGTCCTGCCAGTGATGTAGCAGAGCGTGCTGGCCCCTCGTGTCTGGGTCTAGGTGCCGTGTCACGACACCCACACTGACAAATTGTAGCCTGGTCGTGAGAGATGAGCAGGGGTGGGGGAGAGAATGAAAATCATGCTGGAATAGGGCCCGGAAGAGGGGCCGTTGTCTGTCAGCCTCGCGCAGCCTTCGGGGGCAGTGGGGAGACGCTGACCGTCCCGTGCACAGCCTCCTGTCTGGGCCCAGGTGGCTCTGGCCTTCACACCCAGGTCTGCTCCCCCACTGCCTGGCTTTCCTGTGCTCCAGATCAGGACTCCTGAAGGTGAAAGGTGAGGTTCCAGGCAGCCCCCACCCTGCTGACTAACTGTGCAGCCTGAGGGTGGTGATTCAGCATCCGGCCTCCAGCCTCCATCCACACGGCCAGAGAGGAAGACGCTTCCTAAGAGCTGATTCAGCTGCAGAGCAGGTACCTGCGTAAAACCCTGGGCAACAAGACCGCAGACAGGGGCAGAGCCACACGGCAGATCCGGCTACCAGATATTCTACTTATTTGAATTAGTTTTTTATTTATTCTCACATCGTTCCACAAGATTACAGTTGAACTTAACCTAAATGATCACTTTACAGTATGTCACTATAAAGCCCAAAGTTGCTGTACTGTTAAAGCATGTTCATCAACTTCTGGTCATTTCACTTGGTGATTTCTTGAGCATTTATCTGTCAGTGCCAGGTATCACGTGAAATACGTATATAAAGAAGACAAAACTTTCTATCTCCCCAAACTTGCAAACAGGTGAGGAAAACAGATCCATACAGAGGTAACAATGCAGCAGGAAATGAGTGGGTCAGAGCAGGAGAGCCGAGGGACCAGACTCCCAGAGGCTGCTGTACGAGTCACATGGGGACGGCCAAGTGGGCTCAGTCAGCCAGCCAAGCGCCAGGTGCAGGGACGGCAGTGGTGAGGCAGCCGCCCTGCACCCTCGGGAGACTGGACGTGGCTCTCGTGCTGTGGACATGAGTGAGAGCCCGTCTCTGTCCTGGGGACCATCTGAGGTAGCAGTGAGAGGTGGCCAAGAGACACTGAGGGCTGCCGAGGGCTGAGGGGCAGGCCGGAGGGGAGGGGAGACCCCGCAGGAACCTGCAAGCGCACCTTCATCACGAAAGCAAAAGGCGCCACGCGGGAAGTTATTCATGATCAGACTTTGTTGGGAAGTGTAGCAGGAGGTGGCAGCAGCCTAATTCAAGGTCATGGCACAAGGGGTGGAGGAGAGAGGATGGATTTGGCATTTAGGAGGAAAGGATGGCAATCACGGCACTGAGGGAGGGCTCTCTGAGCACCGTCCTAAGTGCTCCGTGTGGATTAACTCACTTAGTCCTCTGAGCAGCCCGTTTTACATGTGGGGGAGAGTGGGGCAAGGGGTGTTAAAGTAACTTGCCCAGGGTCTCAAGCTAGGAAGTAGGAGAATCGAGATTCCGCCCCAGGGCTCCTTGCTCCCAAGTCTGTGCTTTTCCCCAGCACTTGAGGTCACGGGCCAGAGTGGAGCCCGCAGGCTGGTGAGCCTAGCAGGCCTCTTGTCCCTACACAGCAGGAGGTTGGGGCCTGGAATAGGAAATTCTGACACTTCCCTGCCTCTTCTGAGGGCAGGGGTTCGGTGGTGTGGACGCCATGCTCTGCTTTACTCTGCCAGAACCCTCTGCCTACCCCTCCGCTTCCTATCCTGCCACCTCCTTAGTCACCATGTCAGTGTCCGTCCCCACTACCCGCCACTTGCCCACATGGTGGTGAAGAAATACACTAGAAACGCAGCGCGTTCCTGCCTCTCGCTCTGGGCGCCTCCCAAGAGTTGCAGGATGCTGCAGGGCCTGGGAATACAGTCCGTATGTGTCACACCCAGCCCAGGCCTCTCTCCTTCCCCGGGTGTTGTGCGAGGCAAGTCTTTAAAACCCTCGCGAAGCATCGTGTGTCTCCTCTGCGTTCAGGTCCCAGGGTGGCTCTTCAGATCCCCTTTTAACCTCAGTATTGCAGCATCCATCCTAGCTGTCCTGTGTTAACTAGCAAAATAAATACGTTCCATTAAATTAAAGTGAGGATCTCAGAGAGAAGAATCAGGGAAATGCGTTTCCAAGAGGCCCCACGAGGCCGACGCTCT